TTGAAAGTGTCTATATAATCATTTTCTAGAAAGTATAATTATCTGTACTAATATTTTTATATGAAGAGCAGAGTGTCTTTGTGGTTTTAAAGACAACTGTGAAATAAAATTTTTTTACTTGCCAAAAAAAAAAAAAAAAGACAAGTTGAACCATAGACTAAATGTAAAATCTAGAAGTATAAAACTCCTAGAAGAATACATAAGAGAAAATATTTGTGACCTTGAGTTAGTCAAAGTTTGCTCTGGAAGAAAGAAAACATTGATATATTGGACTATGGAATTTTGTTCTTTGAAAGACACAATTAGTAGAAGAAAAAGACAAGCCACAAAATGGGAAAAAATATTTGCAAACCACCTATCTGATAAAAGTTGTAATCAGAAGACATAAAAATACCCAAAACTCAAAATGAGAACATAGACCAATAAATTTTTTAAATATCGTCAAAATATTTGAATTGCTAAAGAAGACATATTGAGTGCAAATAAACTCATGGGAAGTTGCTCAAAATTACTAGTCATTACAACAATTCAAATTAAAACCACAATGAGATACTATTAAATATCTTTTGGAATGGTTAAAATTAAAGATCTAGACTCTCCAAACCTTCAGAGAGTGGAATCTATTTTTTTTTTAATTTTTAATGTTTATTTATTTTTGAAAGAGAGGCAGAGCATTAGTGGGGGAGGGTCAGAGAGAGAGGGAGACACAGAATCCGAAGCAGGCTCTAGGCTCTGAGCCATCTGTCAGCACAGAGCCTGATGTGGGGTTTGCACTCATGAACTGTGAGGTCATGACCTGAGCCGAAGTTGGATGCTTAAACGACTGAGCCACCCAGGTACCCCTGGAATGGTTAAAATTTAAAAGACCGAAAACATGAAGTGTTGATAAAGATGTGGAATAATTGAAAACTCATATACTACTTGTGGGAATATAAAATAGTATAACTACTTTTTAGAAGTTTTTATTTAAATTCCAGGTAGTTAACATACAGTGTAATATTATTTTCAGGTATACACTATAGTCATTCCACACTTCCACAAAACACCTTAATCCTTATCACCTAGGTAAATACCTAGTAGTGCAATTGCTGGATCAGAGGGTAGTTCTATTTTTAACTTTTTGAGGAAACTCCATACTGTTCTCCAGAGTGACTACACCAGTGTGCATTCCCACCAATGGTGTAAGAGGGTTCCCCTTTCTCTACATCCTCACTAACACCTGTTGTTTCCTGTATTGTTAATTGTAGCCATTCTGACTGGTGATATCTCACTGTAGTTTTGATTTGTATTTCCCTGATGATGGTACTAGCACAAAAATACACATAGTTCAGTGGAACAGAATAGAAAAAGAGGTGGCATCTGGGTGGCTCAGTCGGTTGAGCATCTGACTTCGGCTCAGGTCATGATCTCATGGCTCCTGAGTTCAAGCCCCGCATAGGGCTTTGTGCTGACAGCTAAGAGCCTGGAGCCTGCTTCAGATTCTGTGTCTCCCTCTCTCTCTGTCCCTCCCCTGCTCACACTCTTTTTGTCAAAAATAAATAAACATTAAAAAATTTTTAAAAAAAGAACAAAAAAACCCAGAAATGAACCCACAAGTATATGGTCAATTTAACTTCAACAAAGCAAGAAAGAATATCCAATGGTAAAAAGGTAGTCTCTTCAACAAATGGTATTGGGAAAATTGGACAGCAACATGCAAAAGAATGAAACTGAACCATTTTCTTTTTAAAAATTTTTGATATTTTTATTTATTTTTTTTTAATTTTTAAAAAATTTTTAATGTTTTTTATTTATTTCTAGGAGAGAGAGAGAGACAGCGTGAGCAGGGGAGGGTCAAAGAGAGAGGGAGTCACAGACTGAAACAGGCTCCAGGCTCCGAGCTGGCAGTCAGCACAGAGCCCGACGCGGGGCTCGAACCCACGAANTTTTATTTATTTCTAGGAGAGAGAGAGAGACAGCGTGAGCAGGGGAGGGTCAAAGAGAGAGGGAGTCACAGACTGAAACAGGCTCCAGGCTCTAAGCTGGCAGTCAGCACAGAGCCCGACGTGGGGCTCGAACCCAGGAACCGCAAGATCATGACCCAAGCAAAAGTCAGACGCTTAACCGACTAAGCCACCCAGGCTCCCCTATTTATTTATTTTTGAAAGAGAGAGAGCGAGCTACTAGGGGAGCGGCACAGAGAGATGGAAGGAGAAAATCCCAAGCAGCCTCTGCACTGCCAGCACAAAGCCTGATGCAGGGTTTGGACCCACATACCATGAGATCATGACCTAAGCCGAAATCAAGAGTCCAAAGCCCAATCAACAGTCAGTCATAGGCTTAACTAACTAAGCCATCAAGGGACTCCTGAAACTGGACCACTTTCTTAACCATAAGCAAAAATAAATTCAGAATGGATTAAAGACCTAAATGTGAGACAGGAACCATCAAAATTCTAAGGGAGGAAACAGACAGAAACAGCTTTGACATCAACCCTAGCAACTTCTTACTAGATGTGTCCCCTGAGGGGATGCCTGGGTGGCTCAGTCAGTTAAGCGTCTCACTTCAGCTCAGGTCTTGATCTCACAGCTCGTGAGTTTGAGCCCCGTGTCCAGCTCTAGGCTGACAGCTCGGAGCCTGGAGCCTGCTTCGGATTCTGTGTGTGTGTGTACACTCTCTCTCTCTCTGCTTCTCCCCTGCTCACACTCTGTCTCTCTCTCTCTCAAAAATAAACATGGGGCACCTGGGTGGCTCAGTCGGTTGAGCGTCTGACTTTTGCTTGGGTCATGATCTCACGGTTGGTGGGTTTGAGCCCTGCACCGGGCTCTGTGCTGACAGCCAGCTCAGATCCTGGAGACTGTTTCAGATTCTGTGCCTTCCTCTTTCACTGACCCTCCCCTGCTCACGCTGTCTCTCTCTCTCTCAAAAATAAATAAAAATATTTAAAAAAATTTTATAAAAAAAGTAAACATTAAAAAATTTAAGAAAAAAAAGATGTGTCTTCCGAGGCAAGAGAAACAAAAGCAAAAAGACTAAAAAAACCAAACCAAACCAAACCAAACAAAAAACTATTGGGAATTTACTAAAATAAAAGGCTTCTGCACAGCATAAGAAACAATCAACAAAACTACAAGGCAACCTACAAAATGGGAGAAGATTTTTTTTTTTGGAGAAGATATTTGCAAATGACATGTCTGATAAAGGGTTAGTATCCAAAATATATAAAGAACTTATAAAACTCAACACCCAAAAAACAAATAAACCAGTTTAAAAATGGGTTTTTAAACCCATTTCATGTCTTAATAGAAGACATGAATAGACATTTTCCCAAAGGAAACATCCAGATAGCCAACAGATATATAACTACTTTTTAATAGTTTGGTAGCTTATTTTAAAATTGAACATTTACATACCATATGACCCAGCCATTCCAACCTAAGTATTTACCCCGAAGAAATGAAAGCATGGGCCTACAAAATAAGTCATGCAAAAGTACACGAATATTCATAGCAGTTTCATTTGTAACAACCCCAAGCCCAAAGCAACCCAAATGTCTATGCTGTGGAAAAATACTCAGCAATAAAAAGAATGAACTATTGTGGCACCAGGGTGGCTCAGTCGGTTAAGCGTCTGACTCTTGATTTCGGCTCATGTCACGATCTCATGGTTCATGAGATCAAACCCTGCATCACGACCCACATCAGGCTCTGTGCTGACAGGTTTTTTTAAACCTAAAAAAAAAAAAAAAAGAACGAACTATTTATATCAATAAGAATGTGAATGAATCTCGGGGTGCCTCGGTGTCTCGGTTGGATGTCCGACTTCAGCTCAGGCGCTGGTATCACTGTTCATGGGTTCAGGCCCTGCGTTGGGCTCTGTGCTGACAGGGCAGAGCCTGGAACCTGCTTGGGATTCTTTGTCTTCTTCTCTCTCTGCCCCTTCCCTACTTGCGCTCGTGCGCTCTCTCTCTCTCTCTCTCAAATATAAATAAAAACATTAAAAAAAAAAAGAATGTGGATGAACCTCAACATGATTATGCTAAAAGAAAGGAGACAGAAGAAAGTAGATGCTGTATGTTTCCACTCATAAAATTATTTTAAAATACAAAATAATCTATAATAAAGAAAACAGATTGTCAGTTGCCTAGAAATTGGGGTAGGAGTGGGGAAGGGTGTGTGGGAGGAATTGTGATGGAGCATGAAGAAACTTTTCCAGGGTGATGGGTAAGTTCATTATGTTGATTGTGGTGAACTGTGATTGTGTTTCACAGGTTTTTATGTATATCAAAACTTGTAAAAAATATGCAGTTTATTATGTTTCAATTATATTTCAACAAAGGTGTAAAAGCAAATACCAGGTTATTGTTCTTTGTTGTAGAGAGTTGGAGCAGGAGTAAGTTTATGTGGAGAATGAGAAAGTACAAATATTTAGCACTCCTTAAACATAGGAAGAAACTTCCCTGAATTAATTTATTTTAACCTGATTGGTTTTGTTGTAGTCTGTTTGAGAGACTAGAATGCAGTATAGCCTTAATTGTTTGGGGTTTATTGGATTGTTATATTATTTAGGCTTTCTGTTCATTGTCCTTGGATTTCTCTTGGCCAATAAATTTCCCTTCCATGAGGTGTCTGGGGGAAATTAAAGGAGCTGGAATTCAAACCAAGCTCCTTCTTCTTGTTAACAGCTGTTTGACAAAAGCTCAGATGAGAACTGATGAAAATTATTAACTGAAATTAGATACTAATATTAGCTGTAGATTTTAATTTTTCTTTCTGTCCCAATCACTCAATAGCGCACATGATTTATTTCTTAAAAGGTTTGATTAATTCTGATAGGAAAGTTAAAGAGATTAACGTAAAATTGGAGCTTGTTATCCACAGAGTCAGGTGAAATTATTATTTGAAATCAAAGTTACCTCAAACACAAAGATCATGAAAATAAATGAGTTCTAAAAAAAATGTAGCTTATCACTGAAGGGTAGAAAAGAAAGTTGTAATCTAAACTTCTCATTTACTACCTACCTCTCTGGCTCGATTAAGCTGTGCTTGCTCAATTCTAGAGATGACATTCTGTACTGCCAATGGGATTTCCAGCTTAGGGACCTCTGATTTATAAAAGGGTATTACGGACATGATGGTGGAATCCACAGCTCCTTTTTCTGATTCAGATTCGCTTTCTATCCCACTCTCCATTTTGATAAATATTTTGAAAAGTTGAGTTATTTTCTTTTATTTCTTCTCTTTTCACTGAATTTAGGCAAATGATAATGTCCACGAGGAAGCTAGAAGTCTTTCCTGCTTCCAGAGATCGTGGTTTACCCTGTTACTATTTGGTTGTTAACCATGGTACTCCAGTCCTGGTGATGTCATAATAGATCCATTGTGTCTTCAATAACTTAGGCATTTCAAGAGTTCTTACTATACGCAGAGAACTAGGCATTCTATACGCTGTGACTGTAGAAGGGTGAAGGGGGGTGGGAGGGTAGGAAAGAATAGACAACAGGAACCCTAGAAAAAATAGAAGATATAGTCCTGCTTAAATAAGCTTAAAATCTAGGTGTTAGAACTCAAGATCCAGCATATCAAATGCAACTCCTGATTCTTCTCTCTTCCTGAGATTTTGCTTAAGAATTTTTAAGCCTGTAATCGATTAGGTGTGCTACAACTTCTTCAGCTGCCCCTCTACCTGTTCTAGACATGTAATTTGGAAGATATTGTTTGAATGAAGATCATACTCTTTGCATTGCTTAGTTACTCATTTTTTCAAGGAACTTGACTGCAGATTTTGAATTTCCATAGTGGCTGGAAAAATTGAAGGGAACACTGGGTGCTGTTTTTTAACTGAAAGTTGAATACTCTGGGCAGCTCCTTTGATTGCCGAGAAGGTGAAAGGATTTGGGTCACTGGAGCAATTAAAGGAGAGGGTGGTTTTGTTGGCTGTGTAGCTTTTTTTTAATTGAAAAATATGAAACAGTACGGAAAGTAATATTACAAGTAGTCATGTGCCTATCATGTAGAATGAACAAATATTAACTTTTTGTAATATTTGCTTCAGAAATTTTTAAATAAAATTAAGCATTGGAGATAAAGTTGGAGTCCCTTTTAGTGTTCTCCCTAGACTCCTTCCTTCCCCTCTGCCGCTTTTCAGAGGCAATGACAAGTCATGAATTTGATGTAGTTATGTCTAGTCTCTGTTTATATAGTTTTATTATTATGTAACTAGGTGTATGTATTCATTAACTAATATCATTACGATTTTCTACAAATTATGGATATATAACTTAATTTCTCTATAGGCTTCTTTTTTTTTTAAAATGTTTTATTTATTTCTAGGAGAGAGAGAGAGAGAGACAAGCATGAGCAGGGGAGGGTCAGAGAGAGAGGGAGTCACAGACTGAAACAGGCTCCAGGCTCTGAGCTGGCAGTCAGCATAGAGCCCGACGCGGGGCTCGAACCCATGAACTGCGAGATCATGACCTAAGCGAAAGTCGGACGCTTAACCGACTAAGCCACCCAGGCACCCCTCTATAGGAGCTTCTTAAGTTGAATTCTTGCTGTGCGTTTGTGAATTTAAATAATTTATATGTTTCAGTCCTTCAGAGAATGGGAATCAGGGGTCACAAAATAGTTGTCTTTTAAGAAATCAATCAATATACGTCAAATTAAATATTTTCCCTTCTAATATTCCACTAAGTTATCCCCTCCTCTGTGTTCCCAAAACACTTTGTAAATTTTCTATTACAGTACCTATCTCATTGAAATGTAACTATTTTTGTCTCTGTCCATTAGTCAGTGAACTTCTCAAAACCAGATGCTGTTTTAGTTTTTTCTGTTTTTTTTTTTTAAGCATTTGACAGATTCGTCCTCAGTTTCTCCATAGAAATTTTCTAAAGTTTGGATATTCCTTATAGTCTCAGATTCCATTTCCATGAAAATTTTCTAAGCCCCAGAGCACTTTCTTTTATTGTTAGATTCGCACCCCCCCCAGTCATAAAAACTATTCCCTCCTTTTCCATAATCACAATTCTGTCCAGTCAACAAAATTACTAATGTTTTCTGAAAGGACTACAATTAGAATTTTTAATAAATGTGAAGTTTGATTAAAATATCTATCATTATGCAGCATTCCTTGAAATTATCAATCTAAGTACTTTGTTGATAATATTCGATTTTGAGATCCTTAAGTAACTTTATTTCTTGTGACTTTTTTACATTGCTTACTTACCCTAGCACGCATTCACGAAGCAGCCTACGTGCTTGTCAACTAAACTAATTTAGGATTGTTGTGCTTTCTCCCTCTCTCATATTTTTTATGCAGCATGAACTTCATCAGCAACTGGAAATGAAGGCTTTTTAAAGCAAAATTTAAAATCTCTCTTCTTCCCTTTCAATTTGGCAAGCATTTGTTGAAAGATACTACTATGTGGCCACCATTATCTCACACTGTGAAGAATATATGATAGGGAACTGTGAAGAAACTAAAAAACAAATGAAAAAAGAAAAAAATTTAAGATAGAATATTTGAGCACTACTAATAAAGGACATGAAGAAGCAAGGGAGCAGTGTCTTTGGGAAAGCTCTATGGAGAGAGGAGGTTGATTGACAAATGAAGACATTCCAGATAGTGAAGACACCTTGAGCCATGGCTTTGGAGGTGAGTGTTGAGTTTTTCTTTCAGGAGAAAGGTGAGGAGATTGATTTAATTGAGATGAAGTAATGTTGAATTTACTGTGGATCAGGTTAGGGAGAGGAGGTATACAAATATCAGGAGTTTGATGGAGGAATTAATTTAGTATCTAAGTGAAAAAGTGAGACGATTCATTCAAGGTAAAGTAAGGGAGATTACATGGGATCAGAATGGTAAGGTCTTGAAAGCAAGTAACAGCAGTTTGGTGAAAATGAAACCTTTAATTTAGAAAGATTGTTGAAATAATAGAATGGAAAAAAACAGTAGAAAAAAATTAATACATAACTATGTCAAAAGTAAGTGTCTGAACTAGGATATAGAAGTAGGACTGATAGAGAGGGATAAAGCTTACTAGGTATTGCTCAAGATAATAAGAAATTTGGATCATCTAACAGAAAAGTATAATTTTTTAGTTTTGTTTTTGTTGGATTTCATTTGACATGACATAACCTCAATGTAGAGGCTATCCATACAAAGCGTTATTAAGTAGCATATATGTGGATTTATGTAAATACAGTGCAAAGTTCTTTAAAGGTGTGTCTAGGAGAAACCCGCCCTCCTAGAGGGCTCCTTCACATGTAAAATGGGAGGATAAAACCTATTGCATAAGGTTGTTTTTAAAGATTAATTCACATAAAACACTTAAAATAATGCCAGGCACGTAGTAAGCTTTTAATATACAGTACTGGCTATTAATACATTTACTATTACTTCTGCTTGTTGTTTTTTTTTTTTTTTCCTTCTTGACTGTTTCTGCGAGCCACCACCTTTTCGGAAGGATTGGACGTCTGTCCAGTACACCTCACATAAAGTTGCCTTTTTACCAGATCTAGATTTTGAACTATGAAGACTGCGTAATTGTTATAGCAGTAGTAACCCTCCGTTTGGCGAGGGACAAAACGCGTAAGATTTTTACACACCCCCGTGGTACAAAATGGTGCCTTCCTCTGATTGCTTCCCTCCTCCCCCCAGGACTTATGATAGTACATCCCATACTGCTGTTGGAAAAGGTAGCGCAAAAGTTGAGTGCGCCGACGGCTTTCTCTTCTCCCGGAAGTAATTGGTTTTTAGAACCGGAAACAGTTGCTCTTTCAAGGGAGGTGGGACTGGGCGGGTCAGGCCGCAGCGGCTGACGGCGGGGGAGGAGCCGGTTCCACTGCCGGGTGGAGGGGCCAGGCGAGTGTCCTTATCCTAGCGATTGGGGCTCGGGCCTGTAAGCCCGTTGGAGTCGCGGAAGCGAGAACGATTGGGCCGAACGGAGGAAGACATGTTGCTCTTCGTGGAGGTGAGTGGACTTGGTAATGTCCAGCTGTGAGGAGAGCAGGAGTGTGGAGGCGCCGGCCGGTCCCACCGCCATGTGACTTTCCAGGCCGTACACGCCGCGGAACCGGCAGATAGGCTGACACAGCACCTGGGCCGTGCAGGCCAGCGGCTCCCCTCAGCGCTCCCACAACACTTTAGGAAGCTGTGGGAAGTGAGGGGGAGAGAATTGAAGGTGGAGAATCGAGGCTTGTCTGGTGTGGCGTGAGGATCTGAGGAAGGGGGAACCGTCCCATATGGACCTCCGAGAGGAGGCAAACAGGCCGGGGGTGGGGGAGGAGGGCGGGGGCGGAGTCTACGGAGAAAAGGGTAATCAGGTGGGCGCGTGGGGGGGGGGGGAGCGAGGTCTCGCGGGGCCCTCTGGGAGAGGAGTAAGCAACATGTGGGGCCGAGGAGGGAGGAAGGTGAAATTTGGTATAAGTGTGTTGAAGAGAAAGTTGAAAGCTTCTTCTTAGCAACCCCCACCAAATTTTGTTTGGTTCCCGTCCCTAAGTCTCTGGAACGTTCTGTGGGTGGAAAGCGAATTACTGTGAACGGAGGAGACGCCAGTAGGCTTTGGAAGCCTTGAAAGGCACCGCTTTGACCTTTTGTAAAAGTTACTCAGGCAGTGGCTCCGTGATGAGGGGTTGGTTTTATGAACGGATAAAAGCCCTTATACAAGGAAAATTCCAAGCATGAGAACAGCATAGTCCGGGGAAAGCCGTTTTTCATATGTTGTTTAACAACGGAACTGCTTTTATTTCAACTGGAACGTCTGCTGGCCTGTTTTAGTTTTAAAGGTGGGGGATACCTGCCTTGCACAAATACGAGGTTTAATTTCTCTTATTTCTGTCTTTTCTCTTGTGTGCAGTGAGCATCAGCTGACTGCCTGGCTAATGCTTTGAGTAGATTCCAGATCATATTGTTCTTGCATTGTGAAAACGTCAAACCAGCAAAGCTGCAACTTCGCAACTTGGCACTTGTTAACTATGACCATAAAAAGAATCTTTTCAATGAGGGAAGGAATTTACAGGTTGTATAATGGATCGAGAAGCCGGGGCCAGGTTTTTTTTTCGGAGGGTGGGATGGATCGTACTCGTAATATTCCGGCTTAAAGTAAACACTTGATTAAATTTTTTAAAAAAAAATCTAACTGACAGCGTGTAGCTGATAAATTAGAGATCTTTACATTGGGTTTTAAAGAGCTACTTTA